GTTTGCACCCTACGCAAGGTTGTACGAGGAACCACTAGATAATCTACGCTTAGTGGCGAACCCTGTCCCGTGATCTTCTGGTGGAAATCATCATTTTACGGGTTAATGCGGAGCGGAACGGGCGCGATTCGGGATCGTTACGATACGAAAATGTAATTTTCTTATACTTCGTTTACCTTAACCGCAGATGCAGACGACAGCTACGAGCTGATGGGACCAATCAGACAGCGTCAAGCGCTCCATTCTGGTGTTCGTCATGTTTCTGTAAGTGTTCTATCATCGCTAAACCAATCTTCATCAAAAGAGCCGCAAACCGATATCTTAGGCGATATCGCTTTGCTTTGTCATGGACTTTTTGGGCATTCATGAATTACCAGTAGAACCTTTTTTTTTTCTTTTTGCGATTTAGAATAACCCTTTATGTAATGCGCAACAATTATTTTAAAAACCACCAAGATGGTTAGATGGTAATTCCTCTGAAGCGCCGCTTCAGAGGGTGGATGGTGTAGGTATGCTCTTGTAAATAGTGTTGCCGAAGAAACTCGCAAAATTTATAGTTTCGTACGCTTTTTTAGTTTAGTTGGACATGCATGAACCGATGAAGAATGTGCTTCCTCGTACTGCATACACTCTGAAGGAATGTACCCTTCTGGTATGTGTAATAAGTCAGGCTACAGACTTAACCCAGCCGTCAAAAAAGTTACAATTATAATCTGCAAGTATTATAGGCACTTTCAACATAATTTGGCTTTAGCAGACATGTACGTAGTTCAACTACACTACTCAAGTTACTGTAATTTAACTACAGTCTTCTAAGTAGTTTAGTACGTTTCAATTACATTTTTGTTTTGGTAATAAGTAGGTCCCTTAAATTATAGTTCCCGAGTAACCTCTAGTCAATTTACAAATTAATCTTGAATTTTGGTTGTATATTTGCTTATCAACAAATGCTCCTGCACAAAAAGAGATAAAATGTTGGAAGATCAGTTCTTATTTGCGAAGAAAAAGAAGCGTGTGGCGTAGGCAAGGGGTGGGGGAAGGGAAAGGGGAGAGGGGCTTCGAGGGTCCAAAACCCCCTAAATATTTCACGAGCCTCCACTGCAAGAGCCCGGCTACGAGGCGTGGGGAGCGGAAAAACACGTCACAAGAGAGGCCAAGTAGTTGCGGGACTGGCACGGAAAATTGGCGTTACTTTGTGTTTTGAAGCTCAAGGAGACTTAATTGACGCGTTTAGAGAAAGGGCTTGTCCCCGCTTCTTCGCAACGTAGCAACTCTCCACTACTACAGGAAGTGTACACACTGCATCCTCACTCAAATGAGGAAACAAAATGCCGCATCCACTCTGAAGCTAATCTGATCCTCCCGCAGTTTGTGCTGTACTTGAAAAATCGCGTGCTAAAGGTCAACGCAAAGGTGACCCCCACATTGTGTTTGTTAAACTTCCTCCCAAAACTCAGAAAGTGCAGGTCTTCCAGGGTTCGAAGATCCTTCGAGGAACGTTAATAATGCCCGCGACGTTTTTACATAAAAAATGAACAAGCAGTGTTCGTAAGTATTTTAAGTACATGGTACTTAAATTACTACTTCAAGTATGTTTAGAAAACGAGTGCTTTACTTGAAGTACATTCTCTGGGCATGAACAGTCGTGCAAACACAAAATAGATCCACATGGGCGGGCGTGTCTTACTTTATTTTTCTTCTTTTTTTCTGAGGAGCGTTTGAGTGGAGCTACATAGTATCTGGATCACTATACTTGTACTTCAGTAAAGCATTTTTTTCTGATACTTTCCGAGGAAAGCACAGCTACCTACTTCAACATTCATTCTTCAAATATGAAAAAAATGGTGTATCGTCATGAAAGAACGCGCTATCTTCTTTCGAGACGTCATCTGGTCGTTTCTCTGAGAAAAGTAATGGCGGCTAAAAGACAATACAAGTAAGTGTCTTATAAGCTTATTCCGCTATATAGTTCGTCTGTGAGAATAAAACAACAACTCTGTGGCGACTTGACTTAATTCAATATTTGCGTCATTTAAGAAGAAAACTGGTGCACCTCCCTGGAGCAATGCACACCAGTTAAAGAAAAAAAAGAACTGTATAGGGGATGAAAGCACATCATGAAAGATGGTGTAAAAACGTCCGTGTACATTACCTTTAAAGTGCATTGTGTTTAAGTACTTTACTTAAAGTGCATTCCACCTGGTGTATTTACTACTTTACTTGAGGCGCATACCCTCTCGTTTACTTCGTCTTTACTTCAAGTACGTTTCAGATATACTTTACACAACACCGTAAACAAGCGAGCGTTGTCTTCAAAATCAAGCTCAGGCAGTGCTAAACCTCAGAGTAGAAAGAATACATCCGCAGTAAATCACTTATCAAAAAACAAGAAGGTGCAAAATAATGAGGCACGCAGAAGCGAAACCCGCTATGACAACATTTTTGTAAAAACACAAGCCGCTTTATATTTGTCTAGCAGAATTTCGCTAACTAATCAAAACTTCTGTACCTTCTCGTTACCATAAAAGTGTAAAAGTAATTTCAAAGCTAATTCGTTAATTCTTTACCGCATTTAGTTATTTACTCAATTACTTTCGATTTGAGTAATTTCTACTTTGCTGATATAACTTGTGAGGCCAATACTCAGTAATTTAAGTTAATTGCATTTTGAGAGTAACTTGTACATCTCTGGTTTTAAGAGAGTATGTCATAAAGCAGCCGCAGCACTGCAAAGGCAACGCCATTATCTAAAAAAAATACAAACATTCATTGAAATAGAGGAATCACCCCTCTCCGAAATTTCGAATCGTAAAGCTTCTGAAGCAGGCTAACGATTATTTTTATTTTGTTTCGATTAATTCAGAATTAAGGAAATACTTATATATTTATATAGATGTAATTCTTCACGGGAGGAAAAATGGCTACCTACTTCATCGATTTCTCTGCTAAATCCTAGAAGGCGTCGCGGCGATCCGAGACTGCACCGCGCAGTGTGGGGTATTGTGGGGCGTACGCTGATGTAGTATGTGTGAGGAGACTCGCAACATCAGCACACCGTGTGATGTTCCGAGACATGTGAGACAATCTAGCGTTCTGCACATCCCAAGTGACTTAATGCTCCGAGCTTCGCTCCACTACGGTTTTCTGGAACGCATCTCCGACTGGTGTGTTTACCGAGTCCAAAAATGTGGTGCCTTAATTTTGCCCGATGATGTCATAGAAGTGTCATACTCTCACCGGTCGCGATCCTGGCGGTGTGACAGCAGCGATGGTGGATGTCGCAGACGCCTGTTCCGCTGTAGGTCGCTCTCCAGTGTGGCAGCCAACGGAAGCTTCGGCAACCAGGAGTTGGGACGCTGGGACGACAGTGACACTGGCGTTTGCATGTGCTCTTTGCCGGAACTTCTACGACCACCCACCAGGATCGCGGCATCCGACAGCATGACACCTCGGCGTTTGTGACATCATTTGTTGCCGCTTCGGGACGAAATTTCGGTGCACGCGCGTTATAGGACGCTAAATAAATACACCAGTCCAAGACGCGGTCCAGGAACCATGCCCAACCGGAGGTTTCATGTGTCAAGGTTATATGTATAGATCGGTATATGTCGCTTGTATGTCGAGAGCTACTGTCCCTAGAAATGTAAAGGGCCGAGCATCCCTTTGCTATGTGGATGAAAGCAATGCATAGCTCTTAAACTAGGTATTGTGTAACGTATTTTTGTGCCAGTACAGTGAGTATCGAGTGACGTTATTTATAACCGAGTTAAAGCAGGTTCACACATGCTGCAGCGAAGCGCCAAATCAGCCCTGTAAGTAGCGCCGAATTTTTGCGCAGATTTAGTACGTCCTTTTCTGTTTTCACGTCTGATGTTTCTTCTTTGCAACTTGCAATACTTCGACGCATCTCGCCGCAGTGAGATCAATTTTAGGAGATCCTATGCTGGCGATCGAAAGCAGACGGAACGATCTGGTTCCGTCTGCCGTCCCAGTTAAACCACGCCTTCAAAAAAAGGCAGCATTTACGGCGGTGGGCTTCCTCGGTGCTTCCACAGTGTTCCTTTTTAATACAATCACAAATGTTAATTTGACACGAGAAGAAGTTACCGGTATCATAACTATTATGTCCATCCGTGCACGATTTCCGGTATGAATCTTAAGATGATGCCACAGGAATCACTCTACTCAGTTATGGTGGCATAAAACTCCAACGTCAGCAATGTATTCGTATTGTTCCATTAAAGTTATAGACGTTTGCAAGTACGCCTTCTGGGCGCCATCATCTTGCCGCTGGTGTGAATAGGTCGTCTGATATATTCAAGCATTGCTGAGACCGCGGGTACGCCTCGTCAATGCTTGAGTATCGGACGACATACCCACACAAGCATCAAGATGGCGGCGCCCATAGGCCACACTTCCGAAAGTCTAGAGTCGACGCTGGAAACAGCCCACGGTTATTATTTGATAATAAGCCATCTGGCTAAATGCCTTGATAAGCCCTTTGGAGAAATATTGTGGTACAAAACATTATGATGTGTTTATGTCCCAATAAAGAAATTACCTCTAGCTCGCCTCTGTAACATTTGTTTAATGTCATTCGGTCATTTTTAGTAATGTTTAGATGCCTAGTCCGTGATATCTTCTATGGACACACGGAGCAATAGTTACATCAAGGCATTTAGCTCTTAGATGTGTTTCATTAGTGCACCAGCTTGCATGTCTTCTCTTTTTTTTTTTTTCAAACGCACTTCTCTGCTTTTAATAACAAAATATCTTTGTACCTCTATCGAGTTGCTCTCATCCGGACGAAACATTAGCATATAACAAAGTATGACCACTGGGTTTATTAATTAAGTTTCACTTGATTTTTTATAAACATTGAACAGTTTGTGTGAATGGTTGAGCGTGTTGGTGTCTAAATTACGATAACAAAAGAGGGACATGTCTTCCATGTCCCTCTTTTTTAGTGTAATTGAACATGCTTTCTTTTCTTGGTGGGGGGAGGCATATATTTATCTGATTGAAGTAGGTGTTGGTCCGTCAAGATTTGGCACCTTCACGAACTTGACAGTCTTCACGCCTTCTGGCACGGCTTCCATTTCGAAGAGGGCAACAAGATTGACATTCGGGTTGGGAAGTAGAAGAGTTCCAGGAACGTACAGCGTCACCTGGGGTCCTATGGACGGCCAGTAGCGTCCCAGATTGAAGCCATTGAGGATCGCGACTCCCTTGCCGAATCCCTTTGGGTCCAGGAATGTGTCAAGAGGCTCTTGTCCCCTGGGAAGCGAGAAGTAGCCGAAGACGACGCCGGGAACTTCGAACTTGGGTTCGCCATTCAGTGTCGTAAGGAATTTCGACAATAACGAGAGCTGTTCTGGTGTTGAAAGTGGTACCCCTTCAATGGCCCAGTTGGTCAGGAGATGCCCACCAAGAGTGACGTTCGACAAAATGCCCTGAAATAAAAGAAGTCTGGGATTGTGGGGATAAAAGAACGTTACATATAACATGAATACAGCACAAAACATCTTTTCAACTGGCAACTTGAATGTTTACTGAACATTTGTAAGGCGCTTTTCTTTTTATCCCTGTAACTTACCAGCGCGGTCCAATTTGTCGAGTTCACTATCATCTTAATTGTGTAAGATTTTTATGTTTTTCATTTTGTTGCCTTTTTTATAATCTAATATTTGTAGACGGCAAGCTATTTCCAAATGATTTCTACTATTAAAAATATATTTCTAATATTACCTTCAAATGTACTTGAGTCGCTTCTGAGTCACGCCTGATCGTTACAGCAGTTAAACCTGAATCGTATCTCAGTTACTACAATGACCAAGGTGGCTCTGTCTACTTTTTTCAATACTAAGAATTTGCATGGGCACAAACGATATAACTAGGACTCCGCAAGCGAGTTGGAATACCTTTGACGTCACCTTCAACTACGGCTGTTTATTTTCTCCCTCCGAGCACTGGTCAATTGGGTCAGAGATACCATCCGTACCGAAGCCAATTGTTCCAGATGCTTACTTAATTTAGTCACCTGTAAATGACTCGGTCATGAATAATATATCAGGACAAAAATGTGACGAGTTTAACTTATCCGTTTGTCCACTTATAATTCGTCTGATTGCGCATACATTCCGTGAATTTTAAACGAGGGTATCGGCCAACACGACTTTCTCCGTTTATCTGGTTGTTTAGCCGCCGCAGAGACCCGACATGCATACTCCTGGGCCTCAAGATGAAGGCTCCCTGTCCCGCCTTTCCCGGGAAGGGACAAATGAATGCGAAGCTTTTTTAGTATTCATACCAAACTAGACTTTATCGAGCATCAGGTTAAACAGCGCGATGAAAGCCCTGCATTTTGTAGGCTTTAAGAATAGCAATATCATTCCATTCAATCGGGCTCTAGCACGTCAAGCGTATACCTATAGTTAATTCACTGATCAGCGATCGCTGATCAGTGATCGGTTTAGTTTATCAGTTTTTCTGAGGAAGCAGAGAATGGAGTCACACGGTAAGAGGCGTGCCATTGATTGGTCCGGTGAGAACATAGCTTCCACCGCCCAGCCAGCTTATCGGTGAGCGGTGATTACCTGCCCTAGATCTGAGCCTATCTGCACAGATATAACGCGATTTTTAGGACGCGCCTTATTTAAATAATTAGGTCTAATTAGCAAATATTTTAATTATTCGTATTAGGGCCAAGCTGTGAATAGAGAAGTTGAATATTGCATTGAGAAATACCCACTTAGGTTGTTTGCTGCATGATGCGCTTTGCGCACTCATTGCCATAGAAAGAGAACCGGCGAAATATAAAACAAAGATCGCGCGACAACGCGCTTCCGCCTCGCACTTGCAGCGCTCACAAACGTTCTCTGAAGAAACGAAGCACCTGCACGCTTTTTCAGACAGGGCTTTGCGGCTACAGGTGCTCGCACCCATCTTTGGGTCTTTCAACAACACGAAGCCCTCTCTCGGACAGCGCGACAGTGATAAGCTCGGCATTGTTTCTTGAAAGAACGTCCAAGAGCGCTGCAAGCGCGATGTACGGGCGCGTTTTCATGTGGTCCTGGCTCCTTTCTTATATTTTATGTGCTTATGGCTTTGTTTTCTAATTCATTCTACAATTTTCTAAACAACACCTAGGCCCTTAAACTTATAATTTAAGATGTAGCCAGTTTGTGATAATTATTTAAATAGCTTGCCGCATTAAGCGAAATTGGTGCAATTTGCTAAGACGCGTGATAACTACATGGAGTTGATTTCAATCTGGCAGAGCGCAAAATTTTTTTTTTTGTTTAATTTGGTGTAAGTTATTCGGGACGCTCTGTATAATATGGTTGTGCATGCCCCTACTTGCCCAATTCCGGATATGACCACATATGGCATTTTGTTACGGGCATTCCCCGTACCAATCTCGAAATAACACGCTCGACAAAGCAAAAACTAAAAAAAAAAAAAAAAAAAAAACTTATGAGAAAACACGTTCTTGGAGTGTGTGAGATTTTTTGTGTTTTTTTTTCTTTCCTAGGAAATTCCCTTTACAACCTCTCAACTCTCCAGTGCAATATAGAAGTCGCCTGATTGACTTGCGTAGTAGGTACAGTCCTATTGCTCAAAGCATTAGTAAGAGGTTGACAGGACATTGTCTTACGTAAAAGATTTCTTCCAGTAAATAGCTCTTCAAAAAGTGAAAGTGGGATGACTGACATCAACCTATATCAACTACATGAACAAGCACGCATTGTATATAAATAAATGTGCTTAAACAACCTCCCACAGGTGATGCAGACAATGAAAGTGCAAGGGCTTCTACTGGAAGGATCGTTAAATAAGCTTGAGTGCTCGACGCAATTATGTTTATTCATTATTTTCTCTCACCTGCGCAGGCCTGCAACCTAGAAATGCATCGGGCATTATCCCAAAGTTATAAAATCCGATTCCTCTTCCATGCTCAAACTCCGAATTACAATGCGTATAACCAAATTTTATTTTCGTTTCACGGGAGATCTTGTTAGATAAAGATGTCTTTCATAGGATCCGACGTTGTGTCTTATTAAAACAAAATTGGATGCAAGTCCCTTTCTAAATACAATACGATTCACGCCAGATATTAAAAAAAAAAACTATCACAAGGGAAAAGCAGCTTACCTTGAAATCCTTGTTGCCAGGTCCAAAATTGATACGTCCTGTGTTTTCAACGATGATTGTAAGGTTCTCTCCTTTCTGAACAACAACAGGTACGCTGGTCGCGAGCTGTTCCTTGCTGAGCACGGCCGTGGTTGCCCTTGTGTACACATAACCTCTGTCGCTGATTCCAGGAACTGCCAGAACGGATGGACTAGCGGGTTGAAAATCAATCGTCGTTGTGTACACAACATACCCGAAATCCTGACCAAGCTTTTCAAAGCTCATTGGGTAAACGGAGGTAGCATTAACAAGTGAAGCATTCTGCCTAAAAAACTCCAACATTTCTTTTAAGGAACAGCTAACCTTAAGTTCTACAGTGCCCTCATTGAGCTTAGGAGCAGGCACAGGTGGTTTTCCTGGAGGAAGCGGAAGGTACTTGGAGGTGATGTTCCTTATCATGTAGTACAGGTCTGTGGGGTCTCCGGCTTCGCTGAGGGGTGCTCCAAAATCGTAACTGGTTGGCTGTGGTGGAGGATTCCTACCGTTGCTGAATCCAAAATTAGTACCACCGTGAAACATGTAGAAATTCACGGACGCATTAAAACGAAGAATTTCTTCGAATGTCTTGAGAACTTCGCTGGCATCAGTCTTAGTGTGTGGTAAGCCCCAATGGTCCATCCATCCTGGGTAGTACTCCGTCACTATCAGAGGACCCTTTCCCTGTGCTTTCCTCACAGAGTCAAAGGCAGCTGTGACGTTCGTACCAGCTTCAAAGTCAGCGGTTACGAGCGTGTCGTTTACAGCATCACATCGGTACGCGTCGTCTTTGGGAGAGTCCGTGCGAAACAAAATGACGTCACTTCCCAGGTAAAACTGAAATATCTTGACAAGGTGTCGCATGTAATTATGATCACACACCGGGTATTGACCGTATTCATTCTCAACTTGAATCGTGATAATAGGTCCTCCATTCCTATAGAGAAAAGGTTCTACCATTGACAGAAGAACTTCAAGCCAGTTGTCCACAGCTTCCAAATATGTCCTGTCAGATGACCTGTACTTCATGTTAGGGTTTAACCTTAGAAGCCAGTAGGGGAGACCACCGTTGTCCCTTTCACCACAGATATAAGGCCCTGGCCGAAATACAACAAGCAGGCCAACGTCTTTGGCTGTTTGCAGGAAAGTCTTGAGATCGTAATTGTCTTCAAAAACGTACTTTCCCGGCTCGGGTTCGTGACCACTCCATTCAACGTACGTCTGCAGCGCGTTAAGGCCTGCCATTCGCATTTTAGTCATCCGGTCCCTCCAGTATGCCTTGGGCACTCGGAAATAGTGTAAAGATCCCGACACATACCTAAATGGCTCGCCGTCTTTTAAGAAGCGCTCGTGCTCGTAGTCAACCACGAAAGATCGTTCAGTTCCTTCCGTACTCCCTGTCGTGCAGGTGAACAGTAGTGCAACAAGTGTCCATAATCCCGTCATGCTTCCCAAGGCGCCTGTCAAGTCTGGTCTGTCTGTTGCGGGCTTCGGTTCCTCAAGTAAACCTTACGCGGAGCACTTGAGCAGATAACGTATCGTTCGTAAAGGGAAGCCGCCGATAAAGTACTCGAAGTCTCCACCTTTAGAATATCGTCTGAAAAGTGCGTCCTGAGAACGGCGTGCTTTCCTAATAATAAAGATGGCCCCGATAAATATTCTTCAAACGCTATGGTTCCCCAGCCGTTTTCATGGCATGCGCCCGTGAGCACCTGATATGAGCATCGTTTTGTTTGTTTTGCTTTTTTCGAATTTCACATAAAAACTGGTTGCAAAGCCGAAAAGGGTATTTTTATTAATGTAATAAAGCGAACAGCAACGAGGAATTTAAAACGAGGGGGACAGCAAAAGCAAACTGTTGTGTGTATGTTTATACAGCCGGAAGTTAGTCTGCCTTAGTGGGTGTCTGGTGTCTCAGCTGTAGATGAGCAATTTAGCCAGTGCGGTTAAATTGCTCATCTACAGCTGAGACACCAGACGCCCACTGACAACTGACGTTTAATACTCTCTAAACATAAGGAGGAGAAGTATGTTCGGGGTGCTATCAAAATGCGAAAAAGAAGAAAAAAGTCTTAAAAAACATACGTTTAGGCAAAGTAAATTCCATTTATACAATTCAAGGGTAAATTCCTGAGGCTAATTAGTGTTTTGTAATACATTACCAATATTGAATAAAAAAATAATCAATATAATCTTTTTGAAAACGAAAAAGGCACGAAAACACAAAAACAGAGATGCTGATAAAAATAGACTAAATTTCGCAAGAGTATGAACTAAAAGAACATAGCAGGTCGGAGTTCTTCATGGCATGAGACTGAAGTATTCGAGTTCTTTGTGGTTCATGGCAATTGATGGCGCGCTGACGCAGGCATCCTCACTGGACGAAATGATTTGTGCCTCGCACAGCTCATGAGTCCTCCTAGTCCTGAAACGTTTTAAGATTCCGGTGTTGCTACATATTGCGGATCATTTACAATCCCTCATATGTATGGCTAGGTGGCCCGCTGGCGACGACGTCAGAGATAGGTCGTGTTCTCTTAGGCGGTCATTGACACATCGTCCTGATTGTTCCACATACACTTTCCAGCAGGTGAACGGTATATCTTACACTACTCCACACTGTCACTCGACATTTTTCTTTTGATGTTTTACTTTGATGTTTTTATGTTTTTATGTTTTACACTCTGCTTGCTGTATCTTTTGTTTCTTAATCCTTGGCCACAACCGCTTCAGTTTGTCCGGTGCAGAAAGACAATCTTGACTTGATACCTAGATGCGATCTTCTTTAGCTTCTGAGATATTCGGTGGAGGTATGGTGTCACTGCTGGCCGGCGGTTCTTGTCCCTTGTGCTGTCTCGTTGTGCTCTGGAAGTGATCATGGACTCGGTGACGTCAAACAAAATGGAACTCGGGTATCCAGATGCTTTGAGACGCTGCACATGAGCATGAAAACTCCCTCCCGCTGAAACATTTTTGAAAACATTGGAGCCCTTCCACATTACGTGAGGATGGAGGACCAGCAAAGCTATTATTTTTACGATGTCTGGGACGATGCCTAGAGGACGACGGCTAGTACGACCTCGAGGACAACTTCTAGGACGTCCTCGAGGACGACGCCCAGAGGATGACGCTTAGGTCGACCTCCTTGACGACCTCAAGGACGACCTCAAGGACGACTTCTAGTACAACCTTGAGGACGACTCGAGGACGACCTCGAGGACGACTTCTAGGTCGACCTAGATAACGACGCGTAAAGGACCACTTCTGGGACGACCTGAATGACGATGTGTAGGACGATCTCGATATGGACTTCTAGAACAACCTCGACGACGACGCCTAGGATGACCTCAAGGACGACTTCTAAGACAATTTCGAGGACGATGCCTAGAGATGATCATGACATCACTATGTTATAACGCGAAGGAAGGCTGACTCACGCTGTTTGGCCCCTCTTTTTTATTTTTATCTATTCATAATTGCCATAACCAATGGTGAGCTTTTTGCCAACATCCGCAGACTCCTTTTTTTCAAGATCCTAGCGCATAACAGCTTCCCTGTAAAAACGAGTTAGAGGTGAATTCTGGCGTATTTTGAACCCGTGAATCTTAATATCGGGTTCGTGTTCCCCGAAGATGCAACTAAACTTTTTTTTTTCTTTATTGACCCGAAGATGCAACTAAACGCGAGAAAACTCAAAAGACATCGGACTAGTCATGAGGTCATACAAGAATATTTTGGCCGCCAAGCGCGTGTCGCTCGTGTGGGCAGCGTATACGATTCCAAGCTTGCCAGGTATAATCTCCCGCACCATAGCCTATGCCCGTCGTGACATCTCTTTCTGACCTCTTTGAAAATAGCAAGAGTGCGCGTGCATACCTTTAAAAAACGCTGTAGATGCGCGAGAGTGAGGACTCCGAAAACTCCTAATATAACGTCACGCCCCCGCAAGGAGAGGCTTCAGCGGCACTTTGAAAATTCATTTCTGCTGCCTCCTTGAGGTACTTCTTCGATGGTACGTGCATTGGCTATTGCCCGATCAACGATCTTAGGATGTGCCGAATCATATCGTATCAGCGCTTTTTTTTAATATTGGGGAGTATATGTCGTCGTGAAAGGAGCACCAGGTAGCCATTCACGTAACTGTAAATATGAGGTACTTATTCCGATGGTAAGTGCATTGGCTATAGCTCGATCAACAATCTTAGGGTGTGCAAGTCATACTGTAGCAGCGCCTTTTTGGATCTTGGGGAGTATACACGTTTGCAAGTACGGCTTCAGGGCGCTGCCATCTTGTTTGGCTGGGGTGCGCTTGGACGAGCCATAACCCGATTACGAAGCCTCGCTAAGGTGTCGTAATCGGATTATGGCCGCGCCTAAGAGCGCACCCCACTGAGAGAGATGGCGGCGCCCTGAGACCGGACTTGCAAACGTGTATAGGTCGGCGTGAATAAGGCACCTGGTAGTCATCCACGTACCTAAATATAAGATGTACTTCTCCGATGGTAGACGCATCGGCTATTGCCCGAACAACGACCTTAGGATGTGCCGAATCAGGTTGTAGCAGCGCTTTTTTTTGGATCTTGTGGTCTATAGGTCGTCATGAAAGGAGCGCCAGGTAGTCATCCACGTACCTAAAAATAAGTGGTACTTCTCCGATGGTACACGCATTGGTTATGGCCCGATCAACGATCTTCGGATGTGCCGATTCATATTGTAGCAGCGCTTTTTTTTTATCTTGGGGAGTATAGGTCGTCGTGCATGGAGCACGAGGTAGTCATCTACCTACTTGAAAATATGAGGTACTTCTCCGATGGTAAGTGCATTGGCTATTGCCCGATAACGATCTTAGGATGTGCCGAGTCATACTGTAGCAGCGCTTTTTTGGATCTTGGGGAGTATAGGTCGTCATGAAAGGAGCACCAGGTAGTCATCCACGTACCTAAAAATGAGAGGTACTTCTCCGATGGTAGACGCACTGGCTATGGCCGCCAGATCAACGATCTTAGGATGTGCCGAGTCATATTGTAGCAGCGCTTTTTTTATCTTCGAGAGTATAGGTCGTCGTGCAAGGAGCACCAGGTAGTCATCTACGTACTTGAAGATATGAGGTACTTCTCCGATGGTAAGGGCATTAGCTATTGCCCGATCAACGATTTTAGGATGTGCCGAGTCATACTGTAGCAGCGCTTTTTTGAATCTTGGGGAGTATAGGTCGTCGTAAAAGGAGCACCAGGTAGTCATCCACGTACATAAAAATGAGACGTACTTCTCCGATGGTAGACGCATCGGCTGTTGCCCGATCAACGATCTTAGGATGTGCAGAGTCATATTGTAGCAGCGCTTTTTTTTTTTGATCTTAGAGAGTATAGGTCGTTGTGCAAGGAGCACGAGGTAGTCATCTACGTACTTGAAAATATGAGGTACTTCTCCGATGGTAAGTGCATTGGTTATTGCCCGATCAACGATGTTAGGATGTGCCGAGTCCTACTGTAGCCGCGCTTTTTTGGATCTTGGGGAGTATAGGTCGTCGTCAAAAGAGCTCCAAGTAGTAATCCACGTACCTAAAAATGAGTGGTACTTCTCCGATGGTAGACGCACTGGCTATGGCCCGATCAACGATCTTAGGATGCGCCGAGTCATATTGTAGCAGCGCTTTTTTTTATCTTGGAGAGTATAGGTCGTCGTGCAAGGAGCACCAGGTAGTCATCTACGTACTTGAAAATATGAGGTACTTCTCCGACGGTAAGTGCATTCGCTATTGGCCGATCAACGATCTTAGAATATGCCAAGTCATATTCCAGACGACCTTTTCTGGATCTTGGGGAGTTAAGGTCGCCGTGAATGGAGCACTAGGTAGTCAACCACGTACCTGAAAATATGAGGCACTTCTCCGATGGTAATTGCGTTGGCTATTGCCCGATCAACGATCTTAGAATGTGCCGAGTCATATTGCTGCCGACCTTTTTTTTTTGATCTTGTGGAGTATAGGTCGTCGTGAAAGGAACACCAGGTGGTCGTTCACATACCTCAAGATATGAGGTACTTCTCCGAAGGTAAGTGCATTGTCTATTGCCCGATCAACGATCTTAGGATGTGCCGAGTCATATTGTAGCAGCGCTTTTGTATTATCTTGGGGTGTATAGGTCATCGTGGAAGGAGCACGAGGTAGTCATCTACGTACTTGAAAATATGAGGTACTTCTCAGATGGTAAGTCCATTGGCTATTGCCCGATCAACGATCTCAAATAAGCCGAGTCATCGGCCAATAGCGCATGCACTTACCATCCAACAAGTCTCTAATACTTTAGGTACGTGGATATCTACCTGGCGCTCCTTTCACGACGACCTAGACTCCCCAAGATCCAAAAAAGGTGTACTGCAATATGACTGCACACGTTCCAAGACCGTTGATTGGGCAACAGCCATTTATTGAGCGCGTAGGAAAAAACAAGGACGCACGACAAAGCCTTCTATGTACTTCTATAACAAAGCTCGT